CAGAGGCACAGGGAGAGGCAGGGTTCACCAACAGATCGAGAGCCTTAAAAAGAAAACCTATTGTATGAAGATAGAAACTCTTTCATGGCCGTGAAATGGACCTGGAGACCTGATTTTTTCCATCTGTGTTCTGTTTTTCTGCATTCCCATTTGCAGCTTCTGATATCTGCATTTTGCTTTGCAGATTTTAAGTGTTGTTTGTTTTCAGAGGGGCTATGAGATCAAGGGTTAAGGAACAGAGGGAATTAAAATAGCTGACAATATCATTAGTGGAGGAGATATCAGGGAGCACATTGCTAAATGAACTGAAGAGGGCACCAAATTGAGAGGTGCTCTGCTCATTTAAACTGCGGGTTTGTTTTGATAAAGACTGGACAACACTAGCAGCCTGTAGTTCACAGTGGAAATGAATGACCTGATGATCAGATATAAAGATGTGCTTAATTTCTACAGCGGATATCTTCACACCCAAGCTAAGGACCAAGTCTAAAGTGTGGCCATAGTGATGAGTTTTGCCCGACACATGTTGAGTAAAATTAAAAGAATGAATGATACTTAAAAAATCAAGAGCAGGGAGATTCATCCGAGATTCAGAGACTCATCAACGTGAAAATTAAAATCTCCACAAATAAGGATTCTGTCCTCATATAAAACAAGATCAGATAAAAATTCAGGGAATTCCAGCATGAAGGACCAGCTGGATTGGGGGGGGGCGGTAGATGACAGCAATTAGGACTGGTGGGGGGCCACCAAGTTTGAATAAGAGCACTTCAAAAGAAGATTAATCGTTACACAGAGTTTGAGTGCATTTAAAGTGCTTTCTAAAAACAGCCACAATGCCACCCCCACGGCCACTCTCCCTGGGGCGGCTAAAATAGTCATAATCCGGGGGGCATAATTCAATAAGCTGACTGTGATCACCAGGACGTAGCCAAGATTCAGTCAGAAACATAAAGTCTAAGTCAGCAGAAGAGATAAAATCATTTAAAATGAAAGTTTTGTTTGAGAGGGATCTAACATTAAGAAGAGCCAACTCTAGTGATCTATACTGTGGTAAAGCAGACGTAACGACCTGAGGCGAGGATAAAGCTTGTATCCTAATTAAGTTATTACTATTGCTGAAACGAATGTGTCTGTCTCATTTAACAGGCCTATGCGAAGTCAATACAGGGATTTTAGGGATGCATGAGGCAGCGATGTGACAAGCCGGCCTCCCAATGTGGACTGAAGTTATAGAAGCATGGCTATATACAGTGAGGAAAATAAGTATTTGAACACCCTGCTATTTTGCAAGTTCTCCCACTTAGAAATCATGGAGGGGTCTGAAATTGTTATCATAGGTGCATGTCCACTGTGAGAGACATAACCTAAAAAAAAAAAATCCAGAAATCATAATGTATGATTTTTTAACTATTTATTTGTATGATACAGCTGCAAATAAGTATTTGAACACCTGAGAAAATCAATGTTAATATTTGGTACAGTAGATTTGTTTGGTCAAACATTTCCTGTAGTTTTTCACCAGGTTTGCACACACTGCAGGAGGGATTTTGGCCCACTCCTCCACACAGATCTTCTCTAGATCAGTCAGGTTTCTGGGCTGTCGCTGAGAAACACTGAGTTTGAGCTCCCTCCAAAGATTCTCTATTGGGTTTAGGTCTGGAGACTGGCTAGGCCACGCCAGAACCTTGATATGCTTCTTACAGAGCCACTCCTTGGTTATCCTGGCTGTGTGCTTCGGGTCATTGTCATGTTGGAAGACCCGGCCTCGACCCATCTTCAATGCTCTAACTGAGGGAAGGAGGTTGTTCCCCAAAATCTCGCAATACATGGCCCCGGTCATCCTCTCCTTAATACAGTGCAGTCTTCCTGTCCCATGTGCAGAAAAACACCCCCAAAGCATGATGCTACCACCCCCATGCTTCACAGTAGGGATGGTGTTCTTGGGATGGTACTCATCATTCTTCTTCCTCCAAACACGGTTAGTGGAATTATGACCAAAAAGTTCTATTTTGGTCTCATCTGACCACATGACTTTCTCCCATGACTCCTCTGGATCATCCAAATGGTCATTGGCAAACTGAAGATGGGCCTTGACATGTGCTGGTTTAAGCAGGGGAACCTTCCGTGCCATGCGTGATTTCAAACCATGACGTCTTAGTGTATTACCAACAGTAACCTTGGAAACGGTGGTCCCAGCTCTTTTCAGGTCATTGACCAGCTCCTCCCGTGTAGTTCTGGGCTGATTTCTCACCTTTCTTAGGATCATTGAGACCCCACGAGGTGAGATCTTGCATGGAGCCCCAGTCCGAGGGATATTGACAGTCATGTTTAGCTTCTTCCATTTTCTAACAGTGGACCTTTTTTCACCAAGCTGCTTGGCAATTTCCCCGTAGCCCTTTCCAGCCTTGTGGAGGTGTACAATTTTGTCTCTAGTGTCTTTGGACAGCTCTTTGGTCTTGGCCATGTTAGTAGTTGGATTCTTACTTATTGTATGGGGTGGACAGGTGTCTTTATGCAGCTAAAGACCTCAAACAGGTGCATCTAATGTAGGATAATAAATGGAGTGGAGGTGGACATTTTGAAGGCAGACTAACAGGTCTTTGAGAGTCAGAATTCTAGCTGATAGACAGGTGTTCAAATACTTATTTGCAGCTGTATCATACAAATAAATAGTTAAAAAATCATACATTGTGATTTCTGGATTTTTTGTTTTAGATTATGTCTCTCACAGTGGACATGCACCTACGATGACAATTTCAGACCCCTCCATGATTTCTAAGTGGGAGAACTTGCAAAATAGCAGGGTGTTCAAATACTTATTTTCCTCACTGTACCTTTCTGTGGAAACTTTTAGAAAACACCTTAAGACACATCTTTTTAGACAAGCTTTTAACTAGCTATATAGTTTTGTGTTTTAAGTGTTGTTGTTATTTGTTTATTTTATCCTATTTTTTACTATGAAGCACTTTGTGACCCCTCTGGTCTGTGAAGGGTGCTATATAAATAAAGTTTACTTACTAGGGTGGTGATGGTGCAATGGATAAGCTGCCTGCCTTTGGTGTGAGAGACCCGGGTTCAATCCCGTACTGTGATCCATCTACCATTGTGTCCCTGAGCAAGATACTTAAACCCTAGTTGTTCCAGAAGCGTGCGACCTCTGACATGTATAGCAATTGTAAGTCGCTTTGGATAAAAGCGTTAGATAAATGTAATGTACTTACTTTCTTAACTATGGAAAGTTTTACATGTCTTGTGTTTCCATTGTAGTCAGAAATGACAACATCTCAACTTGCCTCACTCACGCCTGATTCAATAAACTACATGCCCAAACCTATACGCTGGGGCATGGCACTTCATCATACTGTCATTTTTGTCACAGAGGGAACGGTAGTGGCATTCTTACACAAGTCAAAAGCAGGTCATAGGTCCAAAGTCTTAAATTTAAGATTTTGAGTCGTATGCCTTCCTGACCTGATTTAAGTAAGTTTTAATAAATAAACAACAATAATATAGATAACAATACATAAGCAACGGAGTAGACAGATTTTAGTTAATAATTTTTCCAAAAGATGCTTTGGTTTGGTGGTGTCAATAGGCTGTTTTTAAAGTTAAGTATGTGCCTCTGACCTCAACAATGAATGCATCAGGTTGTGAAAACACGAGTGGCAATACATCAATTCTGTGAAAGTACAGGAAAATAAACAACAATGTTGCACTCAACTAAAGACAAAAAGAGGGAGGAGAGGCATGTAACTATTTCATATGAAAGATCAGAATAAAAGAGCACTGACTGGTTTGGGCCAAACTCTTCTTGTACTTGTTGGAATGTATCTATTAACCATGAAATGAAACATACAGCAAGGGTACCAACAGAAACGCCCATTCTATAACTTATATAACTTATAACTTTTTTTTCCTTAATGCCTCTCTGGTACTTACATAATTGTATAATTGTTCATTTACACATTCGGCAAAACAGGTTCGGGTGACCCTCAAGTTGGCCTACAAATTAAAAAAAGTAGAATCCTTCTACCAGGAAGTAACCATGCTGCCCTCTGGTGTTGACATGTGGTAATTCAAAATTTGGTTTTGATCCGATATTAAGTAAAACCAGGTCCAGGATTACAGATGTCAGTACCAATAGCAGCATTTAAAAACCACCACAAGTCTAGTTTTTCAGATAACTTTGCAGTAGAAGTAGTATAAACGTTCTTCTGGTCACACTGAGTTTGGTAGCAACTGATACAATATCACACATGTAGCTTACTTTTTTATTCTTGAAGGGCATAATTACATATTTAGGTATTGTTAAGATAGTATCTTTCTGAGGAATGGGGGCAAACTTATGGGAGCCCAAATTTGATAAATACATTTGAATTATGCCAACAAAGAATAGATGTTCAAATTTCATTTGTTTTAAATTCCACATTTATGTATGTATTGGTTCCCATACATTATTAATTTCCATTTATGTTTTTGTTTACATTTGGTTATTTCCATATTTATTTCTTCTCACATTTCTTGGCAGCATGGCCCAGACATGTTGGCATTAGCAGTCCAACTAGGAAGTGTTAAACCCACAGATTGCATGGTTAAACCACAGGGTTGAACCTATGACATAGGTGTGTGACAGCTTCCCTTATCATAAAGGATGAGATAGCCTACATGAAAATAAATAAATACACGTGGAAATAAATATATGTGGATAAAATACAATGCAGATTTAAAAAACTGCATACATTAATAAATAAATAATATTTTAAAAGGGAAATAAACAAAAACATGCACAAGATATACAAAAGAATATATCATTATTGCACACTTTATTACTTGGCAAAATCTTAATTAAGTAATATTTATTAAAGTTTTTTTTTTAAATATTTTCTTCTTTAATTAATCACAGCTATTTGTTTTCCGTGTCCCGTGCATAGACTGTACAAAAGAAGTCCCGTGTTTTGGGTTAGTACACAGACTGTGTTAAAAAGGGTTAGTAGTAGTTGAAGTCAGACGGCGCAGCCCAAATTACGTCATCACCACGCGTCCAAGAAAGACTCGAGTCTGTACGGTCTCACACGTGAGTTAAACCATATTTTTTTGCCTTCCATAAACTGTGTTTGCATTGATTCATATTTTTCTCAGATTACGCTAAATGTGTTTTTTATATGTTCTTTAACAATTTGTTAACAACTTGTTTCAAGAAAAATCGAGCTGGTTTGTGTTGCACTTCTCGTGCTGGGACTTAGCGTGGACTCAATTCCAATGTTAGTGTTTATCTTGTCTTTAAGACCTACCTGTGTTTATGAATATGTCAGTATAACATGTCACAGCATATCGGCAACCACATTGATCACGTAAAATACGACTTTTGACATTATCTGAATCAGTAGTCAGAGGAAAACTCGACATACATTCAACAATTAAATAGGTCAGATATTCCCCTAAAATCTTTCCACCACACCATTAGGAAGTATTGGCAGATCCAAAACACAACAGTCGCTACAAAGACACAAAATACTAAATTGTAATCTTGCCTATCCACAAATAGTATAATAGTATCATTTAATTTATTTCTAATTAGTCAAATAAAGAAGTCAAATAAAGAGTTAGCCTTTTTTATGTGAATTTCGGATAGCAGTGATCTGCATCAGTGAATAATTTCAAATAATTTACTATTTGTAGGCCTATAGGTAAACAATATTCAGCATATTGATGCACTGAACACTGTGTATAAAATAATCTAATAATAAAATAAGTACAGTGTAAACCACTGTTAATACATGCTGTTGCTGTTTGGTGAATGTGGGCTTGGCCATTAAATCCTAATGATTACTTCATGTGCTCCCTAGACCCTCCCTAACAAGACCAACAAATTCTACTTGTAACTTGCATGTCACCCAAGTTATGTTGGCAAAAGCAGACGAAGGGAAGCCACAGAGAGGAGGAAGAGGAGGAGGAAAGAAGAGGAGACACCCTGCTGAAGATGGAGAAAGTGGAGACAGGAAGCGGAGGGGAGGTGAAGAAGACGACAAGGGCCAGGGAGACGGTGGCAAGACGCGCCTGGACGCCCTGAGTGTGGGTTATTTCCGCAGAGTTGGGGAAAGACTCAGTGAAGGCTTTGAAGATAATGAGGAGAAAGGTGAGAAGGATTATTTTTCTAGAGATCTGAGCAAGCAGTTGACTGTGTGCAGCAGAAAGGCACATTACAGTAGTACAGCTCTATTATTTTGCTCTCTTATTATCCCATTAATCTGCCTTTCACATAGTTTAGCTGCCAAATTTCAAAACAGTCAAACTGAATGAAACGCTTTCTTTTAATCATCATATTATAACAGGGTTGTGAATAAAAAGCAGTTTGTGACTGCCTTCTGCTACATAGCACACAGTATACAACAGTCATAAAATGGTAAACTGAAGTAAACTATGTTGTATGGATTAGTGCTGAGGATGAATCTGGATTTACAGTTTGACTGACAAGTGCTTAAAGTGTATCTTAAAGCTTTTTTTAATGATCAGATTGGTGAGACAACTCATCAACTGGATGTTCACTGATGCACAGAGTTGGATGTAACCATTCCTGGCATTAGAGGAGGGCGTGCCTTTACATGCACGAAAGTAACCAGGCTACAGTCAGCTTTCTCCAGTAGGCTCATTTCTTAAATTTCATGTAAACGAGAAACCTGGTTACTGTATAGGGGAGTTTTTGCATTCCCCCCCCAAATCTAAGGTTAGAGTATGCTGTACAGATTGTAAAGGCCCCTGAGGCAGATTTGTGATATTGGTGCTATATAAATAAAATTGACTTAAGTAGAGACACCAGATTTGTCCCAGGTATATTTCTCCTGGAGAACGTTGTTTTCTCTGCCATTGTATACTGTACGTCACCAGGTTTATAATCTGCTTTTTACAAGTAACGCTTAGCAAAGGATGAAAGGAGAGATAATTAAAGAGCGATGCATTCTCATATTTAAAACTAGAAGGGCACTTGGAGAGCGCAGACTTACGCCGACCTATCTTGCAATGTCAATGGAAGTGAAAAATAGTTTAAGCAAATGAGCGAGGATGTGAGGAATCTATAAAGTCAGTAGTGTAGGGAGTGGATGAGTGAAAATGTGCTGTGTGGATGTTTTGCTGTCAAAACAAAGAATAGGAAACCAGGCACCACATCGCCAAAATGTGAGATGATGTTCGCCCAAGGACCCGCTGCTGCTCTGGCTTATATGATGATTACCCTACCAGTTAGGTCTGGAGACAGAGCAAATCATCAGCAGTGTAAACCAAGCAGAGTAGCCGTCACGCCATCTCTAATTTTTTCTGTCTTGTCTCTTTATGTTTCCATTATAGAGATGTTTGTGGAGAATGTTCTCACAGAAGTTAAAGGTAAAGCCGCCCTGGTGGCGATGGACCGGACAGGGAGCATCACTCTGCAGCGGCTGCTCCCACTGTCCAGTCCTGACCAGGTGGGGGAGGTCCTGGCTGAACTGGGTGGAGAATTGGGGTCAGAGTTTAAGACGGTGTCCTGTGATCGGTGCGGCGGCCATGTAGTGGAGAGCGCAGTCAGACAGATGTCCAGGTGTATAGGTGAGATCACGTGTTTCATTTCTGAGTGGTTTACTGCTCGTTACTGTATAAACTGCTTTGTAGTAAACAGCTGAAGTCACACAAAACCAGCATTAACCGTCCATCCTTTGTATTCATGGACTTTTAGAGAAGGAGCCGTCTGCTACCACAGAAGAAGAAGGCGAGGAGAGTTGTGGAGTGTTGGAGGCGCAGGTGTTGTCTTTAAGTCAGGTGGTGAGAGACAACAGCGCAGAGTTCATCAAACATGTTCATGGCTCACACGTCGTCCGCACACTGCTACATGTGCTGGCAGGCTGCCTCGGACCCCCCCGCACTGAGTCTCGTCCAGGTACGCACACACACTAACTAAAAAATATTTCTAGTGCAAGTTATTTTATTGTCATATGTACAACAGTTAAATGAAGGCAGTTGTTGGCTATGAAATTCTTCAGCAATGCTCAAACAATATGAAAATCAAGCAAGTCTGAGACATACAACATAAAATTGTGCCGAAGTTTAATATATAGGAATAGAATATAAAATCAAATATAAAACAAAAGAAATGTGTGGATGACTTTGAGACTGAAGAAAACTTAACAAAATAATGATTCTCAGTTACAGGGAGCATCTGTATTTGTTTGATATCTAAGCGGACAATAATGATGTCCTTGTGTAAGTCCCACTGAATCTGAAAATGTGTGTATAATGTCTGACTGAGTTATGACTCTGAGAAGGGCTATGAATTACGATGCAAATTGCTGTAATCTGGCCCTAAGGGTTTTCAAATACTCCATGAACTCCGCTACAGCTCCCACTTCTTTTCTTTTCTTTTTTTTTCAGGTGCAAAAGAACGCAACATTCCTCCTCAGCTGACAGACTTTGAGATTCCCACGTCATTTTGGTACGAGCTGAAAAGCCTTACAGAGACATTGATGGACAACATTAATCGTGAGTCATCTTTCATCAAACCCAAGCATATGCATCGTCTTAATCTTCATAGTTTTTGCAAGAACAAAGAAGACTATATTATACTTTATCACAGAAGGAAGAATCTAGTATTGCAAGGCAAAGGGTGTTATCTGTTTTTATTTTAGGTTGGCTGGGTGCAATATGTGTAAATTAGTGCTGCAGCTAATGATTATTTTCACTGTCGATTATTCTGTAGGTTATTTTCTCGATTGATCGATTAGTTGTTTAGTCTATAAAATGTCAGAAAATGGTCAGTCAACATACTAATATACAACAACTAATCAATTAATCGATTAATTGTTGCAGCTGTAGTGCAAAGACAACAGTTTTTGAATTGATTTACTTCCTTTGTTATTGCTATTGCCATTATACATTTTTGGGTTTTTTTTGTTTGTTTTTTATGACTTATTATTTCAAAGAAACATGTATGTACTTAGTTCCTTAGTAGTTCTGTTTTTTTCCATATTTATTTTAATGTAGTTTAAGAAACATCTTCCTGTTTAGTTTTAGCTATAGTTTGGAAGCCAGAAAGAGGAATGTGTGCAGTAAACATTTTGAATGCTTAAAAGGGAGGATTTCAAATCTGGCAGATATCCCCAATTTAACAAACACTGTCAGCGGTGCTGCCTCCCTCTTTTTGTACTCTGCTGGCTGCTCTGACATTTTTCATGGAACCAGAAAAACATTTAAGCCTGTTAAATGCCTAAACTCATAGGAGAGTCAAAAGGGAAGTGCTCAAGGGCAGCTGTTTGGAATAGCACTCAGTCTAGATTGTGTGTAGAATTTATATGATAAATCCAGCCTTGCAGTTTTAATATCAAAACAAAATGAAGTAGTCATTAAATAGCCTTGGGGTGTGTGCAGAGAACCCTAAGTGGCTATTAACGGAGCTGTCCTGCACAGGGACAAAAGAAACTCTGTTTTGTCCACAATTTGGATGGAGGCTGTCACAGCAGGGGCTATTAAATACAAGTTTTACAAGCATCATGATGTAAATTCTGTTCAAATGAGAGACTTAATGCACTGTGATGCGAGTATTGAGGTAAACAAGTGCTATCCTGTAACTTTGGCACACGTTTCCTGCTTTTGGTTAGTAATTATCAGGGAACAAATATCAGCCTGTAAAGGATTTGCCTGTCAAGAAAGGATATTCTCTGTGTATTTGTTCACACTTTTGACTTGACATTCCTGCCTCAGATTTCACGCTATTGCACTGATCTATATTCGGTGGCAGCGACGGGCAAAGAAGCATAGCAATGTGCCCCCAAAGGCAGCGAAGAAGAAGACTGCAAGCTAGAAAATGTGGATGTAAACAATAATTTATTTTAAATATTCAAAAAATTTACTTTGCAAATGTGTTAATAGGAATGCAATCTGGCTAAAAGCTATAGTGGACTTTTCAGGCCGATATTTGTTTTTTAAAGAATTCTGACCACGATAACTACTGAGCAAAACATTTTTCATATAAAAAACCTACTTGTCAGTGCTCTCTAGTAGGCAATCTATGTAACGGTGACTCTGATCCTTGTTTGACATTTCTATCTGGTGAGAAACACTGAATGTAAATATATCTTTAAATGGTACTCTTTAAATTGGCAGAAAGTTTTAAGAAGTATTCTTCTATCCCGTTGTGTCTCTTCCATTTCCAGTAAGTGTGACAGATGCGGCTGCCAGTGCAGTGTTCCAGATCATGTTAACTGTGTGTCACAGAAAAAGGCCCAAACTCTGCAAACAGCTCCTTAAACGCATCATGGAGTACCTGACAAGTCGCAGCGCCGCTCCAGGAGTTAGGTCAGAGATGACCCTTGTACTGTTTTTCCTTTTGTCCAAGAATGAGTCGCTATGCTGTGAAATGTTATGTAACCGCTGGTTTTGTTTTTGCATTCCTCTCAGTCCGCTTCTGGTCTTTCTGAAGGACCAGGCCTCCAGTCGCCTCATTGAGACGATGATACAGTTATCCAACAAGTCCCTTCTCCGTGACCTCTACAAGAACCACCTCAAGGGTCAGCTAGTTGACTTGGCCCTCCATCCTATTGCGAACTTCCCTGTACAGAGGCTAACTGCAGCCACAGCCAAATACAAACTGGTTGGTCATGATGTCTGCATGTCACATGGTGCGGGATTAAAAAAGGATTCTGTAATTGCAAGGGTGTATCTTTTTTCTCTCTCTCTTTCTCTCCGTAGTTCCTGAGGTTGTCTGATGAGCTGATTCAAGGTGTGGAGGCCATCCTGGCCACCGGTCACATGGGTGTGATCATCCAACTGGCAGAAAGCTGTGCAGAAAGTGAAGTGAAACAGGAAGAATTGATGCAGTGTCTCCTCCGTGTAAGTGTTTCCAATTGAGATGTAAAGGTCCACATGGGTCTTAAATCAATATAACAATACCCTTGGTTCTATTTATTTCGCCTTCTTTATGACTGAAATCAAAAGTGCATAACAACATAATAAAGGTACTCGGTGTTTGATTTATGGGTAATGGAAACCCTGTTGATGTGCTGCCTCCCAGGCGTTCCACTGTGCTGAGCCCGGCTCTCGACACGTCAGCTGCCTCCCTCTCTTCATGTCCCTGCTCACCTATGAGGTGTATTACCACTCTGACACAGCAGAGGGCAACATACAGACGGAGGTAAACAACTGAGAGAAGTCAATTCAAAACATTTGTGGCTTAATTGTAATGTTGACATTTAAATTCAATTACTATAGCATAGCTGCACCACAAACCCCAAACCCTTTGAAAACTGGATGCACAATATTGATATGGGGGGAAACGTTGCAGATGCACTGAGGTGCAGTTCTGGTGTCCTTCTGTAGTGGTGTTCTTCAAGAATTTCCCTTGGGGATAGATAAAGTACTTCTCATTGATTATCTCTAGGTCCCGTTGTCCTCCATCTGTTACCATGGTTCCCGACTGGTCCAGGCACTGGCCAGGTTCAAGGAGCGCTCACTCCTCCTCAGCAGCCTGCGCACTCTAACCCCGGCTGACCTCCTGACGTTAGCCTCTGACCCCTCAGGCAGCCACGTCCTCCAGGCCCTCATCACCACATCCAGCGACAAGGGAAGAGGCAAGATCCTCAAGAGACTGGAGGTACGAGTGCAGGGGCCTTATTAGAATATTATTCAATAGGAAGCTGTTAGTGGTTACTGCATTGCAGTTTTAAATACTACTACTGACTATTAACTTTATTCAGTAGGAATAGCAACATGCTTTAATAAAAAGTGTAGTGGGATTCTATATTTCCCTTACTGTCAACCCATCACATGACCAAACCAACAATGCATTGATCCTAGTATCATCTGTGCATCAAAAGCCTGATGCATCTTTTTCCTCTGTGCACTGGGCGACATGTTCTTTCATTAGTGTTAACATGAGCACTGTAGTTTATGAAGAGTTGATCTGACATACACCTGTTCCTGCTGCCATAAATACTCATTTGCGCACCAAATCAGCAGCTAAAAATAGTCCTCAGTATATTCTCTAGTTACTGTTTGCTGAAAACTACAGCAACCAGCTGTCTTTAAAAAAAAAAAAAAAGTATATATTTGAAACATTTTTTATGTGATCATGTAAACAAATGCATCTTGGGGCTGAGAGCCACAGACAGGCTGAGGAAGTTAGAAAGTACTGAGAGGCAGACCCATTCTTTCTTTTAATGGGATTTATGAAACAATAACGCAAAAATACAATATCAGCTGTATTCATTAATATGCGTTAGTCTGTTGGTTCTTTGTTGAGGGATTGAATTTCACAGAAACTGCAGCTGTCCACTGCCAAGAGACAAACTGGAGCTTTCTTCAAACGCTGCTGCTGCTTCTTATAATTATTCTAAATATGCTTCCAGTCTCTATGTAGCCTCTACTCTCTGGAGGAGACGGTAAAATAAATTTCCCCCTAAAAGAGAGACCAGTGTGAAACCAGTGTGAAAGTGAAACCAGAACTTCTGGGTTCTGATCCAGGAGTAACCCCATTGAATCATATCAACATTTGTAACAAAGCTAATAAATAAAATACAGCCTCACAACACAACATTTCTACAGTACATTGTGACATATCTTTAGCCTAATACAATTGTTAATTGTTAATTGTATAATAGCATCGTTTATTCAGCATTTGTTTTTTTTAGAGACCTTAACGAACACCCAGGGTGAAAAACATCTCAACACATTAAAAACTCATAAGAAGTGGAAGTAGAGAGACAATAAGTACATCAAAATTACTTCAAGTATATTAACATATCAGACTACTGGATGTCATTGTAATTGTGTTCCCTGTACTCAATTCTTCCATGTGAGATAGTTTGCGTTAGTGTGGAGAAGTGACGTATTATTAAAAACTGTAGTTGATTCTTTTTAACTGTCCTATGTAGGGCTGACCCCAAATAGTCGAAGATTCAATGCTTCGATGGGCGGAGCCTGATACGACTGTCTATCTCACAGTCGAAGCTTCACAACGAAGCAAGGATCATGCCAATTTGGCAATATGGGGGTGCTCAACATCTGATTTTACATAGAACTACCAGTTTTCTCCCAATAAGCTATTTTACAGCCTATTACAATATACTTTTCAACGCTTAATGCTGTAAATAAACATGTAAAAAGAATAAAACTTTCTATAAAGGTTTTTAAAGTGCGTAAATAAATCCAAAATTGTAACCCTAACCCTGAGTTCTCAGTGCGCATGTGTAGGCATAGCGTGCATGTAGCGGCAGTCAGATGAGGAACACTTGCTGAAGAGACTGAGCCCCAGCTTCACTGGTGTTATGCCGACTTGTCCGCACCTCGCGGGACTTTTGGATAATGTATCACCGTTGATAAACCACACAAAGAATATTAGATCCTTTTTAAATAGCCGGCTACTTGAAATAGGCCTGCGAGGAACTGCAACTGCATGCAGTTGTCGGCAGCATGCACACTAAACTCTGCACAAGACCGGTGAATGGCAGGCGAGAGAGAGAGAGAAAAAAAGGTCTTCAATAAGCCTAAGTTTAGCTGGAAATTTACAGTGTAAGTTGAATGAATAGAGACTAGAGCGCTGCAGCTTCTCAAGATTAAAGTGGAGCTACCCTCATTTAGTGAATAAATGAAATGAATCAATAAACAGAGGTCGCACGCCTCTGGAGCAACTAGGGGGTTAAGTGTCTTGCTCAGGGACACATTGGTGGATGTTTGAACCCGGGTCTCTAACACCAAAGGCATGTGTCTTGTCCACTGCTTCATTACCACTCATAGATAGATAGATAGATAATATTTTTTCATGGATCATCACTATTTTTCCATTTTTACCATTTGTCCTCCCAGGGCCAGTATGTTCAAATGGCCTGCTCCAGGTTGGGTAGTCGGGTGCTGGAAGCTGTATGGAACAGTGCTTCAGTCAGTCAGAGGCAAAGCATCGCACAGGAACTAGGTAATAAGACAAAAAAAACACAAATCCTGATATTTTTTTTTTTCTTTGCCTGTAGTTCGTATTCCCGCTAACAACCTCCTCCTCCCATCTCGCCCTCCCTTCCAGTGCCGAGTGAAAGCCAGCTGAGGTCAGATCAGTTTGCTCGCCATGTGTGGGCCAAATTTGCCCTCTCACACTTCATTCACAGAAAACCCCACTGGCAGGAAATACAGACCGGCGAGTCCAAGAAGCGGAAGCTCTTCAGTGACATTCTTGAGTAAAAAAAAAAAAGATAAACATATTTAAATAATCACTTTTGTTTTGTTTTTTTTTGTTTTTTTAAATGAGATTGGATAAAAACAATAAAACCTTTTATTAGTGTGTTTATTATCAACTCGGATCCTTTGAAATGGCAATGGAGTTCTATTCACATTTTTAGTGTGTGATGTATGGAGCATAGTGGCCACTAAGGGGTGCTAGTGTAATGTTTAGATTTATTGTGAATCTTATTCTCCCAATGGTCCATATCTTCAAATGAAGAGAGAAACTCAAATATGCTGAAATGTGTGAACATAAGAGAAACTGAAACACTGAAGACAAAAAGCTGACAGTTTTTTAAAGTTTGTTTTTATTTGGTTTGTTAGTGATGTTGCTAAATAATAGTGACAAAAATAACAGTGGAGAAGAAGCACAGGGCCAGAAGCCACTCTGCTGGACAGCATGTTTTATCAGTGTAGCAACAACAACAAAGGCCAGCATTCCCCTAAATGTATTGTCAATTCATATAGTTTGATTTGACAACATAGGATGCATTTTTCCATACTAGAAATACTATACTGACAGTTTCCCAATATGTAAGGTGTAGACTGCCATATTTATAACATCCAGGGGCCTTTCTACATTATTTTAACCAATTTTAACAAAGAAATTTATTCATATTCAATCCCAAGTTCTTGAGGCAAAATAGTCATGTTGACGTGTGAGGCAGAAAACTAAAAATCATTATACGTAGTTCTCCCAAATTTTACTTTTTAGAAAAGTCTGTTGAGACTGATTCAACAGAGAGGTGCTGATTCAACTGTTGTGAGGTTGTGTTGGGTTGCTCAATTGATTTGTAGAATGTTATATTTGTGCACTTTCATGTATGTGAATTAAGTTGGGGAAAAAATACAAGTATCGCACTATACATTAATACCTAGGTACAGTCTCAAAACATAACTAAACACAACTTTTAAAGATAACTAAAGGTGAAGCCTTCCCAAGTAAGGTTGTTATTTAATGAAGGTTCTGCATTGCACGGAATTACATCATGAAAGTATTTCTGTTTTTCTGGTCACTGAGTGTACATAATGTACAGTGATACACTTGCTCACCACAAGCGCATGACAACCTAGAAAGCAAGTTGAAACTGCATCTTTCATGGAAGAATATTTGAAGCATTAGTTTACTCAAATCTGGAAGAAGAAAAAATATCTTCCCACTTTCCCTGAGTAATATTGAACTCTGAATTTTGGGGGGTTTGTAGTGAGGTTTTGATATGTGCCGACACCCCAATAAAATTAAGCTGAATGGAACTTTGTTTGCAGTGATCAAAGCAAGTAAAAAGGATTACTTTGAAAACTCAACATCAAAGTGAAATACGGTCATGGTTGCTCAGGATAACCCACAGATGATGGACCATATGTATACTTTCCAGTAGACAAATCTTAATGGGTTTTTTTTGTTGTTTTTTTTCCCCCCAGGAGATTCAGATCACATGCTTAATTAATGCATATACAATGATTGATGGATTAATAGATCATCAGTTAATAAGTGTTAACTCATAGATGCTTCATGCATGAATTATTATTCTAGCAAATGAGTTGGAATCCAGTTAAAAAGAAAAATATATTTGAGACTCATGCATTTGATCGGCCTCTCTGAAAGCAGAACATTACCTCGTGGAAATATGAAGCTTTCTCTTTAATCCAGCTGGTAGGCACAAGCAGCATGTCGACAAGTCGCAATCAGACTTCTTACACATCATTAATACACACCAGCCTTTTCTCGCTTCATTACTATGTAAATTGTTGATGTATGCTTAAACAAATCTGTCCATTCTCTACTGGTCTGACAACTGGCACCTGCTACATATTTATGGAATTTAAATTAATATGAACCAACTGAATTAACAATCAGTAACTGATGATCCATTGAGCTTTGACTAATTGCATAATCTCTTGATAATTTCTTCATACATGATGATTGCATAATGCATTCATTCATACATTAAATCATCATGAGTGATGCATTAGTTATGCATTACTTTAGTGTGTCATTTGAATATAAAGAGTTCACAGATATTTAACAGTCAAAAGATCAGATTGCTTTGGAATTTGCACAGCATAGTAATTCTGACATGGAGATGAAATGGCCTTTTGGCACAGTGCTGGTATAGCGTACTTTAGGTGTCCCATTGCATGCCAAGCCTTGATCAGTTGAGTTTTGATGGCAGCCTCACATCAGCGGAAAGCAGCAGTGTCCAATGATATTGCTTAGTAGCAGGACCAGCCCCTTGACAGCCTGTTCTCAAACCAAGCTGGGATTCTTCACTAAACTACGTGGATCAAAACGTTGTTGTGCAGGCGACTAGAGAAAAGGCTCCATTTTTAAATATCTTCATGTTTTCAGATCTCAGTACTTTTAGATTGTGACTGAATCTCTGTGCTTTAGAGTTTTGTTTTACTCCATCATTGATGTTCATGCTTTTATTTAGATTTTACTGAACCTAAAAACGACACATTGCGGTTTTACCAGGATTATGTGGTGAACTACATCTCGGCTGGGTACAATGACCTGTGGTGGCCTTGGATCAACAGGTCCTGTGTTTGATATGGTCACAGTCTATCCCTCGCAGTGACGACTCCAAGTCCATGCCCGAAAACACTCCCTTGTTCACTTACTACTGTTGTCTGTCGTCATATGTAACTTTTGCATCAAAAAATGTTTACATTTCACATTGTGAGATTGTTAGCTGGAAGTAGTGTACACCATGGACATTCTTTTTTTCCTCCATTGAGGACATGTTTGAGGACACAATATAGTGCACAGCATTTATACTTTTGGCCACACAAATTAAATATAGTGCACTATGTAATAAATAAGTTGGAAATCACTGCTTCTGGCTATAATATAGTCTCGCAAAAATCCCTGTAAAACCAGAACGTTCTTACACTATAGAGGTGCTGGTATGCAGATTTTGTTACCTTTATTCAGAGGCAGGCTAGCTGTTAGTTACAGCTAATGTCTCCTGGTTCCAGCTTCAAAAATGAGATTAGTAGCGATCTTCTCATATAACTCTTGGCAAGAGAGCCAGTAAACATATTCCCAAAATGTCAAACTATTAATTTTAAGAATGTAGTTTTGGGTATTTGTGAGTTGCAGTCATGTTTTTTCAGTTGTTGATGCTTTGACATTCCCCATTACATCCATGTAGGCTAATGTCGAGATCAATACTAATCTCGTGACCGCATCTGGTTATAGTTTGCCATATTTTGCTGAACACATGGTTCGCTCTTAATTTTTACCTGCTGTTAATCCACATTACTGGAAACGTGGAAAGCATTGAGCATTGAGGCAGATTTTTGCCTTCTTCTTCAACCTGCAATTACAATCACTTGGCCTGATGTTTCACTGTGGGTTTCCTGCTTTGACCAAACCAGTTTTAATTACACATGCTTCACTCTGAGCGTGATTTTCAAGTGAGACTGCTCTGGCTTATTATTGCTCCCTTTTGTTGTTTGGTTATTATAGTTCTGTATATGTATAATCAGCTCTGTGCTCTCGAGAGACAAAGAAGAGAAACAGTGACCTTTGGGGTGCAATGAGCCATTGCTCCTTGAAAACAAATCACATGGATTCCCTGGAGATTTAGCAATGCCTCCTTCAATGCCACTCCATGTCTGGCCACAAAAGTGTATGGTCGTCATTGCAGCCTCCAGATGCACTGGTCTATCCCCAGAAACACTACACAGTTCGTTTCCACTGTTACCTCCTAGCTAAAATGTCTACACCCACACTTCAGGAAAATATGCATCTCATTATTTATGCACAGTGCTCACTGAAAATAGTCTTTCTTTGGTGCAAAGTGAGGAGTAGGTTCGACAGGCTTTCACTGGCACACAGTAGGTGGCTTTTTGTCATTTAAGCTCCCTCTGTCTTCCCTGTCCTGGATAAGTATTCGTTTACCCAAAAATCACAATAAATGCCTACAGAATGAGTCAGCGACAGAAAGACAGAGAGAGGGAGGTTTTCTGTCATGATTTGAGAGACTGATAGGGTGTCACAAAAAGAAATTGTATCATATTGTCCTCTTTTCGCTCTCTATTTCCTGCAGGCTTCTGTACCACTGTCAAATGCACACTAGTATCTGACAGTTATCTGACCTGTTTAGGCATGATAAAATCCATTGTGTCATTTTCCATTCTGCAAGACATATTGTTTAAAATCCAGACTGTTTCCGTTTGAGGAGTTCACCTTATCGGTGTCTGTCTCTTAAAGAGCGAAAAAAAAAAAATAAACCCTCTTCTTTCTGAAAATCAACATAAATATAGGACATTTGAGATGCCAAAGGACTCTAGGACTCATTGTCTCCTTGACAACAGTCTCCAAGCAACCATTACTCCTCAAAGCATTTCTCCAACCCCGTCTCTCTCTCCCCAACCCCTCTGTCTCTTTGCCAGTTTGCCTTCCTCTCAAGAGTCCTCCCCTTTATCCACTCCAGATAGTTACTGTACCAGCATCACACTCTTAAAGCTATCTGATGTGACTGACTGTAGGGAACAGTCTTGTTTTTTAGCCTGAGGCACTTCTCTACACCTGTTAAAACCTAGGGTGGAGCAGAGAGTGGGAAGGCTGATAGAGATGTTTCATACGTTTTTTTGGGGATTTCCAACCAGTGAACTAAATGCTTATTTGGTGCATTGTGTGTAGTGATGAGGAGTCAAACCTCAATTCCTAGTCGATTATCAACTGTGGTACTCAATACTAACCTATTGTACACCATTTTGGATGTTTTTTTGATTCATTAATCATCCTAGTTACTGATGTAACTAACTATTTCAGGTAACCAGCCAGTATATAGTTATAATATATATATAATATATTATATTAAATAATACCTGAAATCTGTTTTTAGACACCAGACTTCATGGAAAAAACGTCAATCTTATCAAACAAGTATGAGGTAAAACTGCAACAAAACATTGGGCGCTTCCATTTATCTTGAAAACTGAAACTCATGTTTGTATCATGTTTGATATTTGCATACAGTTGCTAGACAGACAGTGGAGGTAAGGCAAAAGTCTGTTATTCTTGCACTTTCCATGCCATAGTGCTTTCAGAATAAATCTGCAT